TCAGTGGCTGCAGGCAGCTCTCTGCTGGCCTTTCAAACAACCCTGATGTGACACTCTTGCTTTGTCCTAGGGGCTGATTCCTCCTCATGGTTCCAAAGATACAAAATCTGGATGGGAATGTTGTGGCTTGTCCAAGCACTGTATGTACACATTCTGGCTGCAGGTGAATGCCAGAAGGCCAGAGTCCTTTCCTCATCAGTGCTTGGTTTGGGTGGGAGAATGTTTGACTCGGATTTGTTGACCATGCATTGTCTCTCTGTGTAAGACGACAGTATCTGAGAGAGGAAATAAGTTCTTTTTTTATCTAGACACATATCTTAAATAAAAAAATTTAAAAAATCCTGTTCACCTTCTGTCAGTGTCTTGTCCAAGCAATCTCCTAACAAAGTCTCATTCAGTTTGCATATGCACAAAGGAAATGTCTTTCTCCTACCCCCCCTCCTATTTTTGTAGGTGTCTTGTAAAACTTAATGAGGTTTTTCTAGACACAGTGCTTAAGAGCATGTCATATGTAGTGTTAAAATTAATAATGTCTGATAAGTCAATTGCCTAAGTAGCTGTGATGGTGCGACGAAAACATTTTACAGATGGCACAGTGACCGATTATGTGACTCTATATCAGCATGTGTAACACCGAAAAAGAGTAGAGACTGAAGCATGTTGAAATTAATTGCTCAGAGCATATTCTCCATTGTAAAAATGAACATAATTAATTTAATCTTTACTGAAAAGAGTAAAGACTACTAAAGTTCTCATTGTACTTCATTTATACTTGAATGAGGAAAAAGTAGCGTTAGTGATTAAAAGATTGTTTCCAAACAGGAAATTATTAAAAAGAGGACATCATGCAGGCTCCTGTAAGAATAACAGAACATCATTGATTTCATTGGCCTCCTTATATCCACTGTTAAATGACTATGACAAACAGATAGACCTTTAGTCAACTGGGTTAAATCTTCCCTGTGCAGAACTTGACCTTGGAAGGGTTGGGCATTATCAGCACTCATGGATTAAATCCTGTGAAATGCTGAACATTCCCACTCCTTACGGAAGAAGCTGGGACTTAGAGACTCGGCACCTATTGGGTCCTGAGTCTTGTTGTCGGCTTTGAAGTGTGGACTTCCCTTAGGACTGAATCTAAAGGAAGGGGGTATATAGGCTAGAGGTTCGTGAGAGTTACCTTGTTTCTCTTATGTGAACAACCTTTCCTCTTCAAAAACTTATTCATTAGGAAACGTTTCTGCCCTGATGTTGATCCAGATCGATGCACCATGTCCCTCTCCCAGTATGCTGTGCACCTCCCACCCCAGCAAGCCCACCCTGTGTTAGAACATGAGGGTGCCTAGAGCAACCTCACAAGTCTGCCTCCATTCCCTCCCGGTGGCCAGAGCAGAGTGGTATGGCTCAAGGCAGGGGAAAGGGGGCAATTAAACTGCATGCCCTACCTGGCACTCAATGGAGCATTCTGAACGTCCAGCAAATAACAGTAATATTGCCCTTTCCCCTAGCTGTGTCTGAAGACTAGACTCTCCCAGCTCCTCAGATTAAGGTGGGCGAGAGGGTTCTTCCTGACCCTGCTGAGTTGGATGGGAAGTGGCCTTCAGAAAAGGGGAACGTTTCCTAGGCCAGGCGAAGGATGGAAGACAAATTTCCCTTGCTCCCCATTGCTGTAATGCTTGCCAAGTTCTCACTAAGATTATCTGTTTACCTGATGATTATGAAGTTATGTTTGCATACAAGAACCATGGAAAAATGTTTTATCTTTGTTTCAGTTGTCTCCTGAAAGCTGGGATAAAGCCAAGCAGTTCATATTACCAGGTAAGAGGCAATCTTTTATAAAACAAAATCATGTGCGTGTACTTTTCTTCAGCAGG